ATATAGTTTTATACAATCACACAATGGTTTGGTGTGTTTTGGAAGGGACCTCTAAGATCATCTCATTCCAACTCCCCTGCTGCAGGAAGGGACACCTCCATCTACACCAGGCTGCTCACAGCCCCATCCAGCCTGGCCTTGAAGGCCTCCAATGTGGGGCATGCACAGCCTCCCAGGGCAACCTGTCCCAGTGCCTCACCAGCTCCACAGTAGAGAATTTCTTCCTAATAGCTGGTCTAAGCACACACTCTTCCAGTTCTAAGCCATTTTCCCTCGTACCATCACTACCTGCCCTTATAACAAATTCCACCCTAGCTTTCTTGTAGACCCCCTTCTATTCTGGAATGCTGCTATAAGGTCACCTCAGGGCCTTCTTTTCCCCAAGCTGAATTCCCCCAGCTCCCTCACCCTGTCCTCATAGGGGAGGTGCTCCTGCCCTCTGATCATCTTCGGGGCCCTCCTCTAGACCTGCTCCAACAGCTCCACGTCCTTGTGTCAGTTGCCCCACTCAGTTTGGTATCGACTGCAAATGTGATGAGGGTGCACAGGATCCCACTGTCCATGTTGCCTATAAAGATGTTAAATGGCACCGATTCTAGCATGAGTCCCGAGATGGACGCTAGATGGAGCTTTCCGGACACAGATTCACGGGAGGAGACTGCTGCTGATTCAGTGTTAGCATTCCTCCTTCCTATCACAAAGGTGCTCCTTTCCAGCGAAAGGAACCCAAAAACCATTGGCGCTGTGGCCAGCTCTGTCCCACTCACCGAACTGCTTTGCACCAGTGAGTGCCACCAGCGTGGTTTTGCAGCCCTGGAGCATCACTCTTTCCCCATGGGCATCCCCAAGGCCATTGAACACAGCACATTTTTCCACGCTGGTGCAGTCAGAGATAGGCTGGCTGTTGTGCAGGGGTGTGCAAACCTGTGCTGGAGCACTGCAGTGCTCAGATGGCAAAGCTGCAGGCAGCGCAGCTCTCCAGGTGCGTACACGTGTCCCCACACCCCGACCTTCTGAAAATGACCCAGGGCCAATTCTGCTTTGGTGCAGTATGGGGCTCCAGCCTCAGCACACAGCACCCACCAGGCAGGAACCAACCTGCCCCCTCCCCAGATCACTGCGTGTCTCCGAAGAACCAGTGCTGCTTTTCCCGTGCGGTGTTATAAGGCAGCAGGACACCCTCTGGACGTTTTAAAGCCAGCATCCATTGATGCAGCACTTCACCACCCATCTACCATATCAAAAGCAGCACAAAACCTGAATGCTTGCCGCAAAATAACTCAGGCCAGGGCTGCCCGGGATCGCTGGGCAGGCAGTGGGAGCAGCATCCTCCTACGGCAGCGATGCCACGAGCATGCCCGCTCCCCAGGGAGCCACGCCAGGAGCCGTGGGGCCGCGCTCCCCCTTCCAGCCCCGCGCCCGCTGCCCAGCCCCAGCACAGTGAGATGGAGCTGCCCCGGGAGTGATGCTGCTCGCCGAGCCCATGTGATGCTGGGCTAGCGCGGCTCCTCCATCGTCCCCCTCCGCACGCAGGCTGTCATGGCGACTCCCAATAACGTTACTCCCACCAACTGCAGCTGGTGGCCCATCTCGGCGCTGGAGAACGACGCGGGGAAATCCAAGGAGGGAGAGGAAAATCAGGATCCGACGGACCCCGCTCTCAGATCTCAGGACAGGCTGGTTTTGTACCACTGGACCCAGTCCTTCAGCTCCCAAAAGGTAATGGCTCGGCCGGCTTCCCGGGAGGAATCACCTCTCCGGGCAGGGCATACCCTTGGCTCGGGAGGACGGCTCCGCTCGCAGCTGTTTCCCAGGGTGGGCGAGGGGAGCAGCACGCACCCGGTTGGCCCTTTTGTACCCGTATTTCTGTATTTTATCGGCA